GGGGGGGCGGAGGGGGCGGCCCGGCCCGGCAGTGCCCTGGCGGTGCGGCCGGCCCGGCGTGTGGTGCTAGTGATCTCGCGGATCCCCCCGGCACCGGTCGCACCGTCTCACTTGTCATCCGCGGCCCGACCCGACCCTATCAGCCGAGCCCATCCGGCAGCTCCGCGAGCTCCTCGACGGCAGACACCACCGGCCACGATATGAAGACCTTCGCTCAGGTGAGTGCGCGGGACGAGCACAGGCGGGGCGGGACGCCGACGCCGAGGTGTCGCGAGCAGGAGGTGAGGTGACACGCGGCAGAGGGCAGGACCGGGGCAGGCCAGTGGCCCGCGGACGGGACGGGCGCGGCGGCGCGGCGGGGCAGGTCCGGTTGGGTGGACTGCTTGGAACGCGCCCAGACCTGGTGACAGACTTGGACATGTAATGTGGCAGCGCTATACGGCGCCCGGCCCCGCACTGCGCCGCGCTGCACACATCGCGAAAACCGTTTTGGCACGGCATCCCACACTCGTGCCGCGGTCTGGGTCGCACGGCGGCCCGGTGACCCTCACCGCCGCCAACCTCCCCCCGAGCCTGACTCATTTCCAGGGCGGCCCCCCTGCCGGGTGCCGGGTGTCCGTGGTCGTGTCCAGTCGGTGTCCTGGAGCTCGTGCCTCGAGGTCACTGTCGAACTCATTAGGCATACGGTGCACCCCCGGGGGGCACCACCGGCCGGCTGAGGACATAGCGGAGGACACTCGCGTGCGGCGATGCAAATCCAGGACCTCCGCGGGACGCCGGCGTGCTGCACGACGCGGCCTCCTCGGGGAGCACGCGCCGAGCCGCGCGGCCGCGTCCATGGCAGGCAGGCCGGGAGATAATAACACGTGCTAAAATCGTTTCACTTAGTCCGGCAGGCAAGTGGGCGGGAGCCGGCCTGTCCTGGCGCGTCGGGCCGCGGCGACGCCGGCCCGGGCGTCGCTCTCGTGAGAGTGGCGGCCGTCGCCCGGGGCGCCACACCGCGTCCCGCCCCGCCCCGCCCCACCGCCGCGAACCGCCTGCCCGACCGGCTAAGCGCTTCGGTCTGACGTAACAAGCCGGTCAAGACATTGACACTGAAACTCCAGGGCGAGCGATGCACTGGGGGCGTGGCGGAGAGTGGCGGGGCGGGGCCCGCCATTGTATGCTAAACTGCTTTGGTTTCACGCGCGAACCATGACCGCCCGTCCCGGAGGCCGCCACATGAAGGATTTACTGCAAAAAGGGCCCGCCACTCTGACGGCGCCCGGCGTGCCTGGATTGGCTACAGCCTCATTTCCTCGTTATTCGGGCGGTAGCATCGGGGAGTGTTCTCTCTCGAGTACCCCGACAATACCATGTAAACGTGATGAGACCGGGGGGGAGGGGGGGGAGGGGGAAGATGACCCGGCGCACAAGACCACAGTGTCAGTGATCCCGGATCCAGAAGCAAGTTGAGTTAATCCAGAGCTAATCATAATCAAACCTACAATTTGGGCAAAAGTTATTTCTCTTCTACTGTCTCCTGCACTAAGCGGTAGCAAATGAGCCGAGACAACAGGCGCACGGTCGTCGGGCAACGTGTCATTTACGAGACGCCCATCTTGATAGATTTGACGGCGTCAGAGGTGCGGAGTGAGTCGTCGCGTCCAGCCTTCATGAGTTATGGTGGTTCCAGTGGACGTCAGCGCCGCTAGAAAGAGGGAGAGAGAGAGATAGAGAAAAGGGCGGGGGAAAAGAGCTGGAAGCTTCAAGACTCATCATTCTCACGTTCCCACTTGCTGTGCACGAAACTTGTCGGTTGTCAGACAGTTCAAATAATAATTGACACAAGTCTCGCGGGAGCCTCAACTGCCAGTGCCCCGCGCTGCCGTTCGGCCTTCCAGCGCGGATTGGATGGGATGGGACAGGATCCCCGTGCATAGCCGCCCCGCTAGCACAGACGGCCAAACGTCAGCACGGCGTTGTTTTCGATGTCTCGAAACGGGGCGCGCCGTTTTCGGGATGTTGGCAGCACTGGCGGCCCTGTTTGGCGGCACTGCGAGAGCTCGGACGCCGACCGTGTCGTGCTGAACGTGTATTGCCTGCCGTGCGCTGGCCGTATGCTGGCCGTGCGTGTGGGGGCGTGCGCAGGGCGTGTGCTGACCGCATGCTGACCGTGTGCCGACCATGTGCTGGCCGTGAGCAGGCCGTGTGTTGGTCGTGTGCTGGCCGTGTGCTGGCCCTGGCCGTGAGCTGAACGTGTGCTGACCGTGTGTTGACCGTGTGTTGACCGTGCACCGGCCATGTGCTAGTCGTGTGCTGTTGGCCGTGCTGGCGGTGTGCTGGCCGTGTGCTGACCGTATTCTGGTCGTGCGCCGGCCTGCAGCGTGTTGAGCCGACGGGTAATGAGGCGCCCGTGTCCCTTATTACGTTAATTTGTTGCAAAGAGGCGACGACCCGAGGCGTTCACCCCTGGATCATGTCAGTAAACCCGAGAGGACATCTTGCAGGGCTTCTCTGGGCGGGCTGGAGGGGACGATATCGTTTAGACATTGAAAAAGCATCGCCAGGGAGAACAAACTTAAAATTATATTTTGTTTTGTCGCGCTGACAAAAAAACATTCCTCAGCCGCCATCCGGGTGCTTTTAATTTCGTTGACATTGAACCAGTTTCGCAGATTCCTCTCGGGCCGACGTAAACCAGGACACCTTACGACGTATCCGCTACTCGAATGAAGCACACTCGCCGGGAAAGGTCATTGACTCTCTTTGTATTTAAGCGAAATAGCTCGTGTACTGGTCCCGGCCGGACAGGTTCGCGCGGGGGTTCTTGAAAATAAACCACCTTTTCTTCGAGGAATGCACTGTAAACCAAATTTTACGACGGAGGTAATTGCTGACCGAGCGACAAACTGGTTGACATAATGCAGGCACCCTCCCTCCCTCTCTTGCCTTCACTCAGAAATGACTGACCAAACCCAGATATTGCATCACGCTCTTCACTGAGGATATCAAACAATTATCACTTACTTGTTGTGGCATTTGTTGCCATGTTTGGTTTGACTAATATAGTATACATTCTCTATGTTTTAAACTTGGCAGTATCAACATTTTTTTTTAAACTTATTCAAATTTTCGCAAATGCACAGGATCACTTCCGGGCATATCCTTTTGAGCAGCCAGCAGCTGCCCAACCCTGTTCGAGTACTCGGCCATAAAGCGGCACAGTTTATATGACGAGAGAGGGTAACGGTGCCCGATTCCCATTCGCAGCCATAAAACGAGTGAGTGTGTGTGCGCGTGAGTGCGCGAGTGTGTGTCTTGTGTGATGTGTGTGACCCTCCGAACCCAATCCCTCCGTCCCGTGTCACTGCGGCCGTGTAAACAGAGCAACCTATTACTTAACGCGGTGACACACGACACATTACCTCCGTTGCCTACCCCCTCCCACCCACTGCGGGACCTGAGCCCCGGACCGTCCCGCCATCGCCACCGCCCCGCCCTTCCCTCTGCCAAAGAGGAGATCAGAAGAAGAACAGGTTTCAGGAGAACACATTCTGTCTCAGCGTGGCGTGCTGGGCGTCCTGGTCCTGCTGCTCTGCAGACCCGCCGGCCCGCAAAATTATATTTGCTTTTTTCTCTCCTTTCTTTTCTTTCATTTTTTCTTCACCCCGCCCCATTCCTTTTGCTAAATCTCGAGAGTGGATATAGCAGCCCTTTAAAAACAACGGTATGGGGGCCGAAGAGCGACGCGACTGCTGGAGGTCCGCTCCGCCCGCTGGAGTCTCCAGCAGAGAGGATGAGGCCGCCACCCGAGTACGCGGGTCCGGAGGAGGCGGAGAGCGGCTCGCGGGCCGACGGGGCTGAACCAGTCTGCGGCAGCGGCGGCCGTGCGTCAGCGGGATGGGGTCGTGAGTCGCAGACAAACTGTTTGTTGGAACAACAGGGGTGCAGGCTGCCGGCGGCGGCGGCGGCGGCAGCCTCAGCACAAATTATTAATAACGCGCCGGTCGATAACTCACAATCAGGTCGCGCTCGCGGGAACTTATTTGTGAAATGGACGTGCGCGCGGGGGTACCCCTCCCCGCGTGGCGGGGCGTGGCGGGGCGTGGCGGGGCGTGGCGAGGCGTGGGGGGCCGGCGCGGCACTCCACGGGCACAGCGGCGCGCACAGCCCGGCCCGGTATTGAGCAGAAGAAGGACAGAACCGGTTTGTCGCTGATCTCCTGACCGGCCGGCCGGCCGGCTCCGTGGCCGAGGGGCGGCGCGGTGCGGCCGCGGGGGCCTAGACCCAGACCCTAACCTAGACCCTCACCGCCTCCTGCTCTGGCAGCGCCGGCCGGCGCGGCGCGGCGCTCGGCCGGTCCGAGGCGACCTGGCGCGATCCAGTTGTTCCACCTCATCGTAGTGTAACACGGGCTTCGATTGCAACCCCCCCCCCTCCAGTCCCTTCGTGTGTATTTATTTACGGCCACGATTCTCATGACAGCGCTCCAACTCTCTCGTTGCCTTCTTTATCTGCCTGCGGACCTCGCCGCACGCACGCGGGGTCGCTCTTCGGCCCCGCCACCACGACGACCACCCCGAGCGCGAAACTCTCATTCAAATAACTCAAACCCAGTTTTGAAATATAACGCTCACCAAAGCATTATTCGTCGGGCGAAAAATAAATTTATCTGTCTTCATGTTTGAGATGGATCATTCTCCATTTACGCACTTTACTCCGGTTCTCGCGTATCCGGCGGCGGCGTCGTGTGGGCCGAAAGAGGTATGTTGTCAACGTCCGGAGAGGAGAGAGAGAGGGAAGGCGAGTCGCTCTCCCCTCTCTCCCAGCAGGTGGCGGGGCGGGGCGGTGGCCAGACGTACGGAACGTCGGAACGAATATGCTTATGAGCCAGAGATAATTCCCCTCCGAGATCAGCAGCTCAGGCTCCAGGCTGCCCAGGGTGAGGAGGGCCTCCGTGGGCGCAACGGAGCGCCGGCGGAGCGGGCAGCTCAGCAGCAGGGCACTGGCCTCCGGGCTGTGGGTGGAGGAAGTGTGTGTGTGTTAGTGTGTGTGTGAGTGTCCGCGTGCGCCCATCGCTCTTATCACACCGACTAAGGCGGACGGAGAGACACTAAATCAACTCCTCCTAGAACACAACACACACTCACGCAAACACACACACACGCACACATACACGCACACTCTTTCACATTCAGCAGCGGCCAGCAGGGAGATGGGGACCTCGCGCCGCCACAGCCAATTCCCGCAGAGAGATAAAAATGTAGCCAAAAGTGGTGCGCGGTGCGTGGGCCCGCCGGCGCGGGGAGGCGAGCAGCACCCGCCCGGGGCTGCCGCTGCTGCCGCGCCGCCCTGCTCCGGACCGTTTGGCCCGGGTGGTCCGCCGCGAAACCAGCGTCTTGCCTGCTGCTCTCCTTGCTCAGGGGATCATCCAGAAAGTACGTCGTCCGTTGTTATTCGCCTTGGTCCAGCTTCAGCCTCAGCAAGCAGCTCTCGTAGCGCCTGATGGGTAGGCAACATCTTGCCTTGCAGAGCATGCGCGTACGGCGGGGCGGCCTACCCCGAGTCTTGCAGGCGCCGAAGCCCCCGTAATTTGCCGAATGAATCTGAGAAGAAAACGGACGTGCAGTCTGGAAGACCACGACAGTCCGCCCGTCGTTTGCCGTTAAGAAACTGTGACAAGTTCAGTCCGTGGAAGCAGCTCTTGTAGCGCCTTGTGGGTAGGCAACATATTGTCTGCAGTGCATGCGTGTACTGCTGGGTGGCCTACCCTGAGTCTCGCAGGCGCCAAAGCTCCCGTAATTTGCCGAAATAAATCTGAGACAAAAACGGACGTACTTTCCGGACGATCCCTTATCTCGTCGTTTTGAATATATGGAGCAGAAGGCGAGGTGCGGGGGCCAAGCAGCTCCACCTGCCCACACTCCTCCGCTCCTGAAACAAAGTTACGCCTTCCAGGTTGAAACAAAGAAAAACACCGAGTTGACCCAGAGCACTTTGTATCGACTTTTTCCGGCTTTCTCCATATTTTACGGGAGTTGCCTCACACATATCGCCGTGCTGCATCAGCAGGCTGGCCTGCAGGCCTTCCAAGATGTAAACACCCCTCGGTCATCTGATTTATATATACCTGGGCTGCTTTGCGCGATTTTCCACCGCCGCCGCCGAAAAAAATGCCGTCTGGTCCTTACAGCAGGTTGAGCGGGTCCGACCCTCGCCCGCCCTGTCCCTGTCCCCGTCCTGTCCCGTCGGGGGAGGAGGCCACCTTGCCCCAGATCCAGGGCGACCCGCCGCCGGTATGCCCCGCCGGCCCGGGCCGGGGTGCCACCCAAAGTGTCGGCAGCGTCACCTGACCAGGGGCTGCCCGCCCAATTACATCATATCGACAATAAACATCGATAATAAACGCACCGACGCGTCGTTGCAATCGCGGCCGTTATGATTAATAATAACTTTGGCGAAATGAAAGCGCGCAGGTTGCTGCTGCTACTCATGACCCAGGTCTGGCCCGCATGCATTAGATCTGTCAGTCGATACACAGACAGCGGAGCAGGGGGAGGAAGGGGGGAGGGGGCTAAAAGGGCGAGATGCAGCTCGGACCGCTTTCATTCAAAAACCCGCCACCAGCCCCCCCGGGAGCTCGCGCGCAAGCTTGCACCGGGCGCGGCGCATAACTCGAGATCAATCTACGCTCGAGTAATTTCTTTCATGATTAATAAAAATAAAACGAGAAAATAAAAGGAGCAGGCAGGCGACGTGCAGTAATTATGGCGCCTGAAAACACACCATCCGCGCCGCGTATAATCCGGGCCAGTGCGAATATGAGCGACAGGTGACCAGGGCCGCGCACCTGCAGTCGCTGCAGCCGTGCACGGCCCCGCCCCGCCCCGCCGCACCACCTCTTCTTTTGTCTCGACTTCGCGGATCAAGACATCTCGGTGGCTCGCCGTTCGCCGTGCGGGATGCCTCTCTATCTCTCTGCGTTTACTTTGTAATTGCCGGGTGTCGAGCAACTTCGCTTTTTTACATGCATCGCAAAGGTAATTTCATACTCGCAGAGACGAGCGCGGGGGAGCGAAACGCGAACATGCTTGACAGATGCCTCTTACGCGCCGCAGCGGCTTGTAGCGCCACGCGATAGCTTCAATATTTTTTCCTCTCACTCTCTGTTCGCCATCTCTCATCTCTACTTTTTTTCTTTTTATAAAAATTTTAATTTTGCTCACACACACGTTTGTTTTGTTTGCACAGAGTGGCTAACCTTCTATAGGACGGGGGGAGGGGAGGGACGGTTCAGTGTGTCTGTGTTTCGGTAGAAGGGATAGCAAGAGCGCGCCGCCTGTCTTCTTATTTTTTACCGCGTTCACGTGGGTCTTGATCGATTTTTCCAATGCGGAAACGGGCGGGAAAACGTCGAAAACGTTCCATCAGAAATTATTAGGCGGTACGGCGCGAGTATCCCCTCCCCCTCCCGCACGACTCGCTGTTGCTGTGTCACGGGCTATCTTCAGTAATAATTAACACCGCCTAATCTATGCTCGCTTAATGGAGGCCCACGCGTTCGGATGAACAGATGAATTAACGACTAATTCCCAGCTGTCACACTAATGCGTACCAATGCGAAGGCGTGGCGATGGGCATGAGCTGCCATTAGGACCAGGACACGCCAGCACGGCGAGTAGTATGCTTACCGTCGTATGTCTGCATCCCCGGGCCTAGTTAAATTTGGGGCGACTTTTTGAAGACCCATAGGATCGTCTAAACGCAAACGTTCAAAGAACGCGTTCGATATGAAGAGGCTGCCTACCCCGCGAGCGGCGGCCGCTGCTGCTGCGTCTGCCAAGTACGGCCTTGACGGTTTAAACGTCCTTGGAATCCATCTCACCACACGGACGAACCTGGCGCTGCCTCCCAGGTCCCCTCCTTCTGACGAACAACATCGCCGTTCGTCCTAACGTGTGGCAGCGCGGCAAGTATGGAGAGAGACGGAGAGAGAGAGAAAGAAGTGGGAGGGAAGGAGAGGCGAAAGAAAGCTCACGCGGCCTGGACTCGCGGGGCCCGCGGGGCAGCGTGTGGCGGCGGCGTGGCCCGGCGTGCCGCGGCGTCGTCACCGCGGGACGCCAGATTTGCAAACAATGACCGACTAGCGGTTCACCCAATCGCGGACGAGACAAAGTCGGGAAATACAGTTTTGGACGGCTTTCGCGATGTGACATGCGCCGGCAAAACTCGTCGTGGTCGTTGTTGTATAGTTTCGCTTTTCGCCGCCGCCGCTGTTGCTTGCCTCTGGCTCCGCTGCGCCGATGTGCACATGTTTAGCGAATGATTACCTTGATGAACACGCGGGCCGGACACGCCGTGCGCGGCGGCGACGACGGCAGAGTCCAGTCCGGACAGGAGGGCTTGATGCGTCGGGGAATCGATTTGCGGTTAACGAGACGTCGTTATATCATTCCGGAGCGATTACTGCCCCGTCGACGCCGTCCTTCGGCGACAGGCGCGGCCCTGCGCGGCCCCTTGCGCGGCGACGGCAAAAACAAAGAGGAGCGACTACTCCCGGCCACCGCACCGCCACCTGCTTCATAGAGGGCGCTTTTGTCGGTTTCCTGCCGGGCATTAAAGTCGCCCCCTTCCCCTTCGCCCCCTGCCAACCTCACCCGACATCCACTGAACCTTCACCCCGCCCGGCCCCGGCGCGGCCCGGCTCAGGTCGTCCTTCCCATTAACGACCGGGGTGTTCGACGGGAGGCTCTGATTAAGGAAGCGAGGCGGAGATCAGACCACCACATCCCCTGGAGGGGGAGCGGCCGGAAGGCGGGGAGGGGGCGTATCGATTTTCCTTTCGCCATATATTTCGATACGAGCGCCGCCGCCGTCCTTTTTTCCTCCGGTTGCCGTGTGATTATCATTACAATGCACTCATCCTTCCTTCCGAGCCGGTGAGGGGCGGCGGTGGCATCTCAAGGAGTCCGTCGTCGCCGCCGGCGCGCGCGGGGTTCATCCCATAAAAGCGAGACCGCCTGAGGACGCGCCCGGCTCATGCGGACCATATTTAGCAGTATTGTGTGAATCGGCGACACCGCGCCGGCGTGCAATGCCCTTGTGCGACGGGGCGGGGCGGGGCGAGGCGGGCTCTCTTGAAAGAAAGAGACCCAGGCGATCAGCCCGCAGACGTCATAAATCATCTTCCGCACAATAGGCTGACCCACATGTCGTCCTGCTTGCTTCCAGGTGGCAGCCCTCACGGCGCTGCTCGCGCTGCAGGCCTCGGCCTACACCCTGTTCAACACGCAGCCCTACTATGTGGCCAAGCCCGTCGGCAGGAACACGCAGGTAAGTGGTAAAGCCGCCCCCCTGGCGCAGAGAGCGAAGAGCGGCTGGAGAACAACAAATGAGGGCAAATGAACGACCCACCACTCCTCCCGCTGCAACCCGCAACCGACTTCCCCCTCCCCCCTTTCTTTATATGTCTTCTCAGGTGTTTGTTTGTGTGTGCCAAACCTGTCGCCCTTCGACGCCGTCCTCCTCGCCCCACTCCCTCCTCCACCAACTTCTTCTCCCCCTCGCCCTTTTTAACTTTCGCAAACGCGGGCAGATACCGAGGTGCGCACGTTTCACCGGTCTAAACAATGTGGTAATTCAATTTAAATTCAAGCTTCCAACCATTTTTCTGTTGCTTTTCTTGATTTTTCATGGACTACCCCTCGATTTCCCCCAAAATTTTCTTCCTCGGATTTTCTCTGATTTATATCGATTTTTTTCTGATTTTTTTTTTCTGTTTTGTTTGAGTAAAGTACCCTTCGGTCTAACCAGACGGCGCTTGCCCGCGCTCCCCTCTGTTGCAGCCCCAGCAGTGCCAGTCGCTGCCCAGCCCCGTGTTGCTGTTGGCCGAGCGCGCGTGCGGCTCCCCGGGCGCCCTTAGCGAGATGCCCATGGTGGTCGTCGCCCAGGACTCGGTCCAGGTGGTGCGCGACGGCCAGGCCCAGGTGCGCGTCGCGGCCCTCAACTCGCAGCTGCCGTACGCCAGCGTGGCGGGCCCGGCCCTGCCGCAGGTGAGTGCGCGCCGCCGGGGTATAGGCAACCCATCGGGCCCCACCTGAACCTCCCCGCCACTCACCGACGCCCTCGCTCTCCTCCTCCGTCCGCAGGGTGATGTGCAGGCGCTCCGCGCCGTGCGCGTCGAGCTGCGCCAGCCCGTGTACATCTCGTCGCTGCAGAGCACGATCCCCTTCCCCGACTCCTTCATCGTGGTCCACGGCGTGGACGGCGGCGCCGCGCCGCTGGCCATCCGCACCGTCCTGGCCCCGGTCCCTGCCGGCACCGTCCTCTCGCCCGCCCTGCCCATCGCCATCAAGGTCCTGTACGCCGTGCCGCTCGACCCCTTCAACGCCGCCCTGCAGCACCAGAGGTTAGTCTGCACTCGCCATAAGGACGCATCCCGCTCCCTTCGTCCAGCCCAAACTAACGGTTTCTCCTTCTGCCCAGGCAACCAGTGTTCAACAACTACTACGAGTCCAACTTCTACGCGGACGCCCCTCTGTACCAGCCCCAGCCTGCCCTCCCCTCCGACTACCTGGGATACGGTCTCGGAGAGCAGCAGCACCAGCTCCTCCTGCCCCAGCGCCAGCCCCAGCAGCAGTTCCAGGTGCACTTCCAGCCCAGACCCCAGTACCAGGCAAGCATTGCAGATTTCTCGACAAAATAATAAAAATAGAAAGAGAGTTTAAAAGGTTTTTGATCTACTTAAGTTTCGACGTATGAAGTTAATGTTGTTGGGTTAATTTTGTGAATTTTACTTAAACTTTCAGATTCAACAGTTGCCCGCCCAGCAGTACCCCTCCCAACAGTACCCTGCCCAACAGTACCCGATCCAGCAGCAGCAGCCCCAGCAGACGCCTACTCAGCGCCCTCCCCTGCCCCCGGTTCAGAACGTAGGCACGCAGCAACAGAACATCCAGCAGCAACAGCAGCAACCCTTCGGCCCGCCCCAGGCCGTCCAGGCTGACGGCTCCAACAAGCCCGGCGCACCCATTGTCACCATCCTTGACTTCCCGTCCGCCGTTGCTACCCCCGACACCCTCTTCTACCAGCCTGAAGACCCCGAATCCGAGCTCGGCAACAGGCGGCCTCCCCAGGTTCGGAACCAGCCCTGGAAAGGGGTTTCTTTGACCACCAGTTAACCCTTTTTCTAAATTTACCGACCTCTGTTTTCGCACTTTGTGTTTTTTTTCGCAGGCTGTTAGCCCCGCCGGTATCGTGCAGTCCACGCAGCCGCAGCCCAACCTGTCCGTGTTCGTCAACTCCAAGGAGTCCGCCATCCTGCAGGGTCTTCGCGACGAGTCCGAGAAGCAGACCGCCAACCGCCTGGTGCAGGCCGGGCTCAGAGGGTTGCCCGCGCCCCGGCCCCAGGAGCAGGTCAACCCGGAGCTGGAGAGCGTGTCCGTGGACGCGTTCAGAGCGTCGCGCAGCAGCGACGCCAAGGACGCCCCCAAGGCGGACAAGGCCACTCCGGCGAACTGAAGGCGCTGCCAGTGAACCCGCCCGGCGAGGCGGGGGTGCATCGTCCTGGAATATAAAGACGTTGTCGTGGTCGTTGTTGTGAGGACTTGATGCGCCTTCAGGCGCGGAACTACTGATCATGGGGTGGGAGGGGAGGGGAGGACCCTGACGTCGTCTCAATGCGAGGTGCTCGACGAGGTGCTCGCCTCGACACGGTGTCCGGGAGCGACGTCTCTCCACCGCCGCTGCGCGGTCGTCTAGGAGGGGAGTCGCCGGCGAAGATCGCAGGCGCCACAGAACGGCGCGGAAATCGGCCCGGTAAAAAGTGAAGTTTCTCCCCCCTTCTCTCCTTTCCCTCGGAGCATACGCAGACGATTCTTCATGACATTTAGCGCAGTAAATGCAGCAACCCTTCGGTTATCACTTCAGAGCGAGAGACTAGAAAAAATTAAATCTTTATTACATTAGTTTTGTGTAAAGGGCGTGGAACATCTATGTCCTACTGAGAAATCGTTTCAGTGTAATTATTCTTATGAGACTAGTAATGGGCAGCTCGTAGCCTGAGCACCCATAAAGTTACCCAAGATCCTTTGCAACATATCTCTTGAAAGGTTTCGTGTTTTATGCCTCAGTAGCAAGTAGCTCTATTGGCAATTGATGGGCGCGGAAGTGTAAGATCCATCAGTTGGAGCAAGGGAGCGCTTCAAGTGATTTAAACCCTCAAAAAGTCTTCTCCAACCAGTATTTTCATGTCTTTAATCCTCCAAAGCGATTTAAGAGGTTTCTATTGTTTCTAGGTAAGGAGCCGCCAACTGGCGCAGTACGTAACAAAGTGGCATTTATTGGATAATTTGTCCACTTTCTCGTTTAGAAAGACAAACTAGGTTTAGATTTTTATCATGATAGTTTGGCGTACGTACCATGTACGAACCTAGCTATCTTTAGGTACATGTACAAATAAACCTGTTTTTAAGTAAGCTCGTTTGTAATTCGAAATTGTTTATAAATAAAAAAGGACAAAACAAGCTTTGCAAGTTTGGCCGAAATTCAACCCCCTCACACCTCAGAGACTCAAACGCACGCCCTATACTCACGGACGTCAACCAGGCTCGTGAGACACGGCGTGAAGCCAGCGCGCGTGCGTGCACTGCGTGTACAAGTACTGCACTCATGCGTGCAGCCTGGCTGCCTAACCTAGCGGAGCATAAGGCAGAGTGACAAAATATATAAATCCTACGTTTCATCCAAAATATTAGTAGACTAGCATCAGTTTTGAACTTTGAACACATGACTTAGGTTCTACAGTAGAGCAAAGGGTCAAGTCAAAAAAGAAAGATGCATTGTATAAAAGTGGTACGGGTACCTTCAAAGGACAACACTAACATGCTGTTCACTGGGAAACGTTTTTCTCCCAACTTGACACCATACTTACCTACTTTACGACCATCGATATTATTATGTTTTTTACATGTCGTGAGGTTAGCAGTGATGATGTCTAAAACCAACACGGCGTTGTAATCGAGACACTCGTGACTAATACGAGACGAAAAACGTGCGACATGATAATGCAGTCCTCTACCCGCATGCCTGCGCCGGTGAAGAGGGCAACCCATCGTACATCTCGTGCGGCTGGGCGGCGGATGAGCAAGGGGAAGGAGCTGTACCTACCAGGCCGTTGAAATGGAATGGTGAATACTGGAGTCGAGTCACAGTGGGGAAAAACGAGTCAACAGTTTAGGCGGCGGATGCGACACTACCTGCCCGGAAGTGGGGAGCGGAAGACTGACCGGAAGATGGAGACGATCGTTTAGTCGTTGTTGAGTGAGCAAACGCAGCAGCGTCTTTCCCGGTCTTTCCTAGCTCCGCCTCCGCCGCCGTTCTCTCCAGTCATGTCGAGCAGGGCGACGACGACGCCCAGTTCCAGGCAGTTCTAGGTTAGAGTCGGCTCGGCTTGCGGAACTCGCTGAATCGGTCGGGCGCTCACCCCTTGTATCAGACGCCTCTCATGACCGACCAAGAACGGCCCTCGCGGGTGTTACGGAGACTCCCACCTAATCCGAGGAAAAACACAATAGAAAGCAAAAGAAGAGGCTCCTCCTCCTCGCCTCACCGCGCCCCAGCGAGCCGTTGTGACGAGCATGACGAGCTGCCGGCAGACACCCGGGAGGGGTCCAAACACGGAACGGAACACACTCACGCGCGTGCTCGCGCCCATCCTGCAGCACGCACGGCGCCCGGTAACGCACGCTGCTGCGCCGTGACGTCAGGAGGAAGAGGGGTGACGTCCTCGAACAATGGAGTGCGGCTGACGGCGGCTGTTGACAACGACGACGACCCTAACCAACGGGCGTCTTCGGTTCGGTCTCACGACGCTCCTGACTCGTATGGCATGGAGGTCGGCAACCCGTCGCACCGTTTCTTTACCTATCCGTTGGCCATCTCCGACCGTCGTTCCCTCCGTACTCTTGGGTCCGACAATCAACGCAAGACGTCAGCGCTAGAGTGGCTGGGGCGGGGCCGGGCGGTCGTCGGGGAGGTCGATTTTTGCAACACGGGGTCTGGCGCGCAGAAAATTGATGGGACCCCCGAGGTGCCGTTTTTAACGGTCGCCCGCTTGCGCTCGCTTCCCTTGAACGAGAGCGGGGTGGGACAGGACAGGCGAAGGCGGGCGGACATTTCGGACCCGCGCGTGCTGGGCGTGGCGGGCGGGACGGGGCGGGGGGCGGGGCGGGGCCGTCTGGCTGGACAATACGTGTGGTGTGTGTGGGGGCGTTTGCGGGCCAGCCCCAGCCCACCGGCGGGTGATGTTGAGTAAGGCAGGTGCCGCTCGAATCGAAAGTCACCCTCACACAAACACATGGATTGGGCAACCACCCTCGCGCACACTCACACACACGCACACACACACGCACACACACACACATGCGCGAGTGGGGCGTGGCGACGACGCGGTTCGCCGCTTGCCAGAAAAGACGCGGCACGGCGGGGGATATATCGGATCGGTTCGCCGAACGCCCCCCGAGTGAGTGCCGACGGTCCCGACGGCGACGCCGCCGCCGACGGCCGCGCAGATACCGCGCGTGGCCCTCCGTATCTCAATATCAATCGCACGTCAAGCGGCACCACTGCTTACGGTCCCGCCCGCTCAGCCCGCTCAGCCGCTCTCAGCCCGCCGGACGGACGGAAAGATCAAGAGAGAGAGGGGAAAAAACCGTGTTCTAGTTATGTGTTATTACGCGATCGTGAGTGAGGGAAAACAATCAAACGTCATATCAAACGTAACACATTTCTTTTCATAGTGTGTGTGTGTGTTTGTGTGTTGTGCTATGGTTTGAGGAGCCCACCCACAACGATGAGTTGTGTGATCGTTCCTCTACAGCTACATACTGGCTCTTCGCTCGCGCTTAAAATAGAATAGAAAACAAGCGGAAAGAACCGGGTGGAAACGGATCTAGGTCAAGTTTTCCGCGGGACGGGACATGCGCGCATGCGTCCGTTGCCCTGCTCGTGAGATATTCGCGGAACTGGACTCGCTTAACAGCCTAGCGGCAGCAATCACTTAGCACAGCGCCGCGACGCGACAGCCCGCGGCCCGAGGGGACTCAAACTGATCGACATAATCGATTTTTGCCTGGAAGAGCGCCAAATGCACGGTTGTTGCTTCACTCGCGTGCAACGATAAGGAGAAAAGAGGGGAGGACGATAGCGTTGCTGCCGGCACCGCGTGTAACTCCTCGAACGGAACGGCGCCCACACAGTGTTATTTTGGTTTGTTTCCCAACCGTGCACACGCGGGCGCCGGCCCAAAATCACTCGGAAACTACTTCCTATCCGTCGTGACTTAACGGATTTATCCAGCGCGCACGGCACCCGCGCAGAAACGGTTGAGGGGGTGGGGGGGGGGGCGAGAGGAATTGCATTACATTTTTTTCCCACTTGCTGCGGTTACACACACAGCGCATGGTGTGTCCTATCCGGCTCATACATGTGTGGCCCGGGACAGGGCAGGGTGGGGGAGCGAGGCCTGAACACGGAAAAAAATGAATTGGTCGTCAGAACTAAATATTAGTTAATTTCGTGACAATCGATCAAAAAATTGTTGAGGTAACTAATAATTCGTTGTCAGGACCAAGATTAAGTTGCCAGAGCCAAGAGTTGGTCGCTAAAACGAAACACGTTTGCTGCAGGA